TCTCTCTCTCTCTCTCTTGCTCGCTCACTCTGACCCACTCGCTTTCTATCTCTTTCAATCTTTCGTCGTGCAGTGCCATCTGGCTGAGCGATCTTTTGCAGCTCAACTTAAGTTTGTGGCTTCTGATGTCGTCGGAAAGGCACCATGCAGCAGACGGACCCGCTCGACTTCACCGGAAGCCGCGAGTTTTTGGAGGCATCGGGCACGCAGCACACAAGAAACGACACCGTCTCCCGGGCCCTCCGTTGTAACCTGCAGTTAAGGAAGCGGAATCATCAACAGCGCATTCACGCAATAAACGTGGCAGCAAGACCGATGAGACCACCAAACTGTCAGCAAAAGTTTCCACAGAAGCATCCGGGCGTGCTTCCCGAATCCTCAGGTGCGCATCATTGGCCTCGTCCCGTTCACACAGTACACCGTGACTTGCACAGGCGCGCAGCCAAGTCCAGTGTGCGGACGCAGCCCAGCAGCTGCCCATGAATCTCCATAATCCCACGACTGCCCTTCCTGCAGTAGGGTAACGTCAGGTAGTGAGGGGGTGAGCGTGTTGTGTCTTACCAGGGGTCGCGATCGGCGACACTGTGGTGACTGCGAGTGCAACTGGTCCCCAAAAAGCTCGACTGCTGCATGCGACCTACCTATCATCCACTTAGGCAAATCCGAGCTACCCTTGATTTGTGTTTCGCTTTTTTTAAAGGCTCAGGGTGCTGAAGCTCCGTTTCGCCGCAGTGTTCTTGCAGTAATTATAGTTGGTGGCAAGGTCTCGAAGAGCGGCCTGTCCACGGAACCGGATACCAACGATCGGCTGTCTGACATCGTCGTTACCATCCAGGACCCTGGGATACCCTGGGCTTGGTGGCGTCTGGGACGAAGGTTCCCACTGGTAGAGGCAATCCCAGGTCGCGGGATGTAGTTGCATGTGTCATGCACAGGCACCTACTGATCTTCAACGCAAGAACCTACACGTCTCATCACATGTCGCCACGTGGCATGGGTCATTACTTACTCAACAGGCCGTCTCTGCCCCAAAGGCGCGAAATCACGATCCTTCTAGAGCGCCTCAAGCCATGCAATCCCGGGCAGGCCGTGTGCAACATCTTCGCGGCCGTGAACGCCTCCGGAACGAATGAGTCCGTGGCGAACGTGTCTCAGGTCCTCGTTCCAGTGGAGGCTGCGTTGCTACCAGTGATCCTTGGCTTACAAAAGACCACACCGACTACGCCCCGTAGGACCTGTCGCAACACACGTGGAGTCAATTTGCGGTTGAGGTTCGATCCCACGCTGCGTCAGTACCAGCTGATCTTGGATGCAGCTGCTCGGCCAACATTCAAAACGCGAAGGGTCCATCCTGTTGCCGTGCTTTCGAGGAGGACGCCCGCGACCTCTGTGGCACGAGCGAGAGCGAAGCCGTCTTCAGGCCTCTTTCGTCTCCAGCTGGGCTTCGGGGGTTGGGGGAGAAACCGTTTGAGGATTGAGTTTGAGAGTTCGATGTAGGTCGGGTCAGCAAAACCCGGAGACAGCTGCGGCCAGAAAAAAGCCGTGACGGAAAGAGGCCAGAATCGGTAGCATCCTGCAATCAGGACAGGGGTAGAGAGCACAAGGAAGACACGCCCCAAGCAGGACAGGGGTCAAGAGCACAAGGAAGACACGCTGCAGGGGTAGAGAGAATCGGGATAGTGATAGACAGCACGAGGAAGTGCTGTCTGCGATCAACAGCTGGGTCGTGTGACCTTGGACTCTTCTTTGAGAGTTGCACTCGGATCTTGGATGACCTGAAAACTGTCCTCTATGTGTTGTATGGAAGAGAAGAGACCAAGCCCATGAGCCTGAAGGATGCAGTTAGAGACTTAGCAAGCAAAACCACCGAGCTCTGTTGCCTGTCGCAGGATCCAAGTGACCGCCATCACACAAAGTCCTTTTGCAACCGCAGTGGTCGACCAGCCAGCCCCTGGGCCCACTTGCTAATGGCTGCTAGTGCCCAGGCATAGCAGGGAAGAGGAAGGTTGCTTGTTTTTGTGCATTGTCGATGAACACAGGGTCGGTTGGTGCAAGTTACAGATGAATGAGTTTCAGCGTGCTCTTTCTATTTGTCTCTCGCAGTCTGCATAACTCCAAACAGATGCATATCATATGTATGTATATATATAT